GCCACCAGGGAGGGCCTACATTTTCTTTTATAAAATAGAAATTTATACCATTATCTCAAGAGCAGATACTTTCCAATATTTTCAATTGAAATGTTCATTATGAAATACCAAAAGCACAATAAAAATACCAGTAAGACTTTCTGACTATACATAGGATTAAAAATACAATCAACACCATCAGCAACATTGATTTGATGTATACCATCCTTGCATAATATACATAAAGAAAATAATAAATTCCACTGTTAAACTTACCCCTCCTGAAGAGATAATTCTTGGTTTTCTTCAGGACCACTGCTATCACTCTGCAGTTCAGGTTCATTCTCATCTTTTCCTGGCAAAGTCTCCCAGCTTTCATCACTTGAGGACTGATCTTTTTCTGTACCAGAAAATCGATGAGGCAAAGAGGCAGACCATTCTCCATCACTGCATTCTGAACTGCAAATTGAAAGGAAAATAAAACTAGTTGTCATTACATGCTTAGTTACTGAACATTTGGAGTGTAGTCTTATACCAGGAATCATGGTATAAGATGGACTGTCTCTCTGTCAAGTGCCAATTCAATTTTTGAAATATTAAAAACAAATTACAGAGCTAAACATCAGCGGAATATAACTTTCTTAAATGATGAAAGTATATAGCAAGCTATAGAATATATAAATTAATTTCTTCACTGAAGTAACTCATGGTGCCTAGATGAAAGTTCTTCAGGTATATAAACATTAGTTCTTCATTTGTTAGACATATTTCCAAATAAAAATTTTAATGTATTTTGATAATCATATAAATTAAATACTATGTGGAATAAATATTAATCTCACCTGATCTGCCTAAGGTAACTTTCTAAATATATATTGATATCTAATGACATAGCCTATATAAATAAATCACTGCTATCATGATTTTTAGAAGCTTAGCAGTTTTCTCCTTTCTTTTCCAAAAAACTTTAAAAAGGAAGTTTCAAATCATTAAAAAAAAAAGGTACCAATGAATCTTTATTGAAGGGCTTAAGACTGCAAACACAAAATAAATATCAATTTAGGAGAATAGTCAGATAAGGAACCAAAAAGTATACATGATAAATTGGGTCAATAAATTAGAAAATCACCTTTGGGTATACTTAATGTTGGTTACTATGTTTACATTTAATTACTCATGGTTTTAAGGAATGGTCATTTCATACTAAAAGCTAAAACTTTAGTATTTAGTGTAGAAAATAAGTCTGGTCAAGTTTCCCCTTAAAAATTTTCCTTTGTGTAGTGACTTATGAGAACAACAATAACAAATTTTAGTCATTTATTTTTTTGAAAGGGAAGGATAATTACAGAAAATTAGTTTCTTTGGATGACATGATATTATCAACATTTAAGCTAGTTAGGAAGTTCTTCCATCTATTAGACATATGAGTCTCAGAGATCATGCTTTTAGCAAAGAGTAGCAGCAAGGCTAATCAACTTCTAGTTTAAATTACAGGCAGGGTACCAATACTACAGAAGAAATGCAATCTAGCCTAGACATCGCAAATACAAATCATTCCTTCAGTTATGTATGAGCCCAAGTTGCTTATATTCTGTAAACTTTTCTGTGATTTCAAAATAATCAAAGCTCAAGCAAACTATTTCTAGACTTGCATTAGTGTCCAAATGTAATATAGGCAACAGCTTGAAAGGAGTTTCTTTAACTATATTTCCTTGACTATAAAACTCAAATTCAAAGTTAATTAATGACTTCAATTTAGATGCTACAGTTAAGATTCCTATATTGTGGCAATTATTTAAAAAAGATTTATTTATGAGAAAAACCTCATTTTTAAACATTTTACTGAGGCTGATATTTCCTGAATTAACGAAATAATCAATGGCCTATCTCCTAATTTCAATGTAACAAGAATACATGAATTTATTTTTCAAAATAAATACTACCAAAAGTCAGTACATTTAAGAACCTGCATCAGACTTCCCGTCTCAACCGCTGCTCTCCTCAGCAGTGTACTTCATCAATTTGCCTGTTCTGTTCCCCATTTTGGTGAATCCTCACACCACC